GCAAATTTTTTTCTTGTTTATGTTTCATTATTTTTTACGTACTTTTAAATTAAATATCCATTAAGCTATTCACATGAAAATTGGATAAAATGGAGTGTTGGAAGCTCATCTTTTGGAGCAGGATGCTGCAAAGAAGCACTTTGATTTACACATTGCTGGGCCTTGTCTTTTAAGGAAGACAGCACCCAGGACCAACCTCACCATGAACCAAACAGGGAAACAACTAATTATACAACTGACCAGGACTGTAATTTGGGTTTAGCGGTGACCTATGGGTTTGTCAAGGCAGTTATTTAAAATTAGGGCCCCGAAGATAAAAGCAGCTGCCTTCCCTGCTGCCTTTCCTTGTGGTTTCTCCTCTTCCTCAGTCTGATGTCAAGAATGTCTGTGGATGGGGAGGCAAGTCTGGCGGCGAAGGTGGAGCGACTGAGGCTGTAAGAGGCAGAGACCTGCCCAGTCCTGCCTGTGCTTGCTGATAACAGGTCTCTATGACATGGTTTAACCCTAGTAACAACTTTCTGCTGCCTCAAGATACAAGTTTGTTTATTTTTTCCCCTTCTGTTCAACTTGTTGGCAGTGCAATGGGAGATAAAATCCTGTTTGTGGCCTCTCTCCCTGCTCATATTGTGGCAGTGGCAAAACCATGAACCGTAGTGATCCCAGGAGGCACAAGAGATGGTTTTAGCCCATTTCCCTTAAATTCTTTGCAAATCCTAAGCAGAAATGTTTCCACTTGCAAATTCTTATTACGAGGCATCCAGAAGCAAAGCCTCAAAGTGGGCTTTCCAAAAATTTTTAGGCATGTTCTCCCTGTTTTTCTGTGCTGTGGGAAATAAAAATCTCTCTGTTCTCCCACTGAGGAGTAAGAGAGTGAAATGTGATTAATGTTGTTAAATTAGGTGTTATAAGGAAAATGAAATGGGTCGGGGGGGGGAGTTGGGGCTGTTTATTGAGTGCAGGGTTTGCTGGGGTGGTGGAAGTTTGTGCTTGGGAGGTTCATGGTCAGTTTTGGGGGGATTCAGGGGCAGAAAGTGAGCAGAGCTGGCCCCTCACCCAGCCAGAGCAGTGGCCGGAGTCGCTCACCGGCAAAAGTGGCTGGGGGAAAGGCAAAGATTTCGGTCTGGCTGTCAGCATCACGGAAAGCCACCCGACCGCCGGCGTAATCCAGAGCCACCTCGATGCGTCGGAGCGTGTAGCTGTGGGGCAGACATGTGGGGCTGGGCCAGGTGAGAGCCTGCAGCTGCCCCAACCACTGCCCCACAGCCCAAACTCCACGTTCAGGGCTGAGACCAAAGCAGCCCTTACGAGACACGAATTCCCGAGCCACCCCCAGTGCCCAGTCGGGACCAGGACGAACCTCCACAGCCCAGCAGTGCCGGCCCCCCACGAAGCCCTGCCGACCCAAAACACAGCGGAGAGACTCAAAACGCTCCTTTCCTGAGGGAAGAGGAGCTGGGGGTGATTCCCGGCGGCCTGCAGTCCGGCCATCTGCTGACACCAGGATTTGGGGGTGAGCTGTGGCTGGATCCAGGGTCACAGTTGCTGGACGGGAGAGAAGTGTTAGTGGGGCTATATGCATCAGGGTTATCAGCTTCAAAAATCACACCAGAGCATCAGCTCCAGGTTCTGCAGCTGAGCCCCAGTTCTGGATGCTGAATCTGAGCATCAGCCTTGAAGCCTGACTCACCTCTCTGGTATCCCCCTGAGTCTTCCTCCAGTGAACAGCCCAAGATATCTGGAAATAGAAGATGATCCCAGAGATTTTTACCTCTGGATCTGGCTCTGGGGCTGCCCCACATCCACCCATTCCCTGCAGCAAGGAGAAGGCAAGACCACCAGAGCTGGGAGACATAACCCCCTTCATTTGGGGCATCACCTGCCTCCACACATAATTAATGTCCTAATTTAGGTGCAAATTAATCACCAACAGCGCTTTGCATCTCCCACCAGCAGTTTCCTATGCCTTAAGGCTGCTAAAAAGCGAATAAATCCCTGATTTTCTTTTAATTAAAGGAGGATTTAAAGTGATGCTTTCACTGTCCAGCCGAATTTGGCAACCCTGGGGTTCTCTTTCCTCCCAGTCCCACCCTAGGTTCCAATTTCTACTTCATAAATCCCCTTTTTTGTCAATTTTTCCTCTATAAGCACCTTTAAACTGTGTCACTGCCTCTGCCAGCATGTTGGTTTTCCGGGTAACATCCTCAAGCTCTGCTTCCAGCTCTGGCATCGACGGCAGCAACGGCTGCACCTTCCTCTCTGTGCACCTCAAGGGGGGAAAATTGGGGTGTTTAATGCCAAGAAATCCCAAAATTTCCTTTCCCCACCACTGGAAAACCACAGGGACATCTTTATTTCCCTGGGCAAGGGTCCAGCTCCTGCAAGATGTGATGGCAGATTTCCCTCATCTTCACCAAGTTCTGGATTAACCACCAACCCCCTCCAGATCAAAAGCAAAAATCTCAGAGGAAAAGAATGCAGGGTGAGGAGGAGATCCCAAAAGTGGAGGATTTTGGCCCAAAACTGGTGTTCCTGGTGATGCTTTTTGGCCCCGGTACCTGCTCAGGGTGGTTTGGGCATCCTGGAGAGGAAGGGAGAGAGATGCTTAGGGCTGTTTTCCTGGGAATAAAAGCCAAGGGATGGGGGCGAACAGAGGGATTTGTGGGGACAGTTTTGGCTCACCCGTAGCAGATCAACATCCGGTTGCTGGCACTTGGCCTGGAGCTCAGCACGGTGTTGCCGGATCCAGGTTATCTTGGCAGCTTCACCACGTTGCTGTTCCTCCAGCCTCCAGCACAGGCGACGGAACCGGGCAAGGAAACGTGATTCCTGTTCACTCAAAACCCGCCGCAGCTCTTCCAGCATCACCAGCAGCTTCTGCTTCTCAGCACTGACTCGAGTCTAGGGTATGAAGGAGAAGAAGGATGCTGCTGGAGTGGGGAATTAAGCACTTTGGCCCCCACGGTGCACCTTAACTGCAGCAGCACTCACCAGCATCTCCTGTCTTATCTCCTTTGCTGCCTCGCTGAGACTGGCACATCGCTCGTACTCCTCTTGCAGGCTTTTTAGGGAACCTTCAAACTGCTTCTGCAACCGGGAAAAAGGGGTTTGGGCTCCTGGAGGAGGGGGATAAGGCGGGGCTGGGACCCCAAAAGCACCTGCAATATGGCCAAAGCAGGTGGACTGTTCCTCATCCTCCTCTCCAGCTGCACTGAAGCAGATAGGTTCATGCATATCCATGTTAGTTATAACATTTTATAGGTATGCTCTACATATAGACTCACCTCATCTGTAAAGGTATGTAAATATATACTGATAAATGGGCATTACAGTCCTTCCAGCCAGGCTGGGAAATCCTACCTTTCCAAGTTCTCCTGTAAAAAAGTTGCCACCACCCTTCAGTTCCCATTCCCCGTTTTCCCCCCTCCTTGCACACCCAACCAAGTCCGAACCCCCCTTGGGGACCCCCATTTCTCCTCCACACCCGGAAGCAGAACAGGAATCCTCCATAGCAAAGGCACTGGCTGACAGCAGCAGCTTGAATTCACCAATATTTAGTTTTGGTCCCAAAACTGCCACACTCCTGCCCTGTTTCATACTTAACCCTCAGCAAATTGCAGCATTGCAGCTCAGTTTTGACTTTTGGATGCTCATAGTATTTTTCTCCCGGAAAGATGGAGAAAAGCTTTGCCCCATCTCAAAATACATATTCTGGGGGAAGAGTTTTAAGGGAAACTGGGGGTTTTAGCGTCTCTCAGGCAGGGAGAGAGTGTCTGAGACGGAGGTTCGCTCACCCTGTACCAGCGAGCGGCCTCTTCGAGGGGCACAGTGGGTTCAGCGCGACGCTCAGCGCAGGCAGCGCAGACGAGGATTCCATCCCGGTGACTAAAAAGAGTGAGGGGTTGTTGGTGCCTCCGGCAAAGCTCCTGCGCCGCCGGCATGTCCAGCTCCTGGATGGCAGCCACCACGTTGGCCAGCTGCCGGTTGGGACGGAAGCCACCGTGCGGGAAAGGGACCCGGCACTGCGGGCAGGAACCACCGCCGGCAGCATCCACCGAGCAACAATCGAGACAACGGCGGCAAAAATTGTGGCCGCAGCTGAGGATCATGACAGGGTCGTGGAAGAAGTCCAGGCAGACAGCGCAGGTGGTTTCCTCCTGGAGGTATCTTATGGCACTTCCCGCAGCCATGGTTGTTTTTGAAGGGCACTCGGAGAAGTGCGCACAAAAAGGGGCCTGGCCAGGGTTTTCCTGGAAGTGGCGACGGGGCGGGACCCTGGTGTTGGCATCCGGGACCTGCCAGGCGAAAGCGACGTAGGGCTGACCCGATTTTCCCACTGCCCCAGTGATGAAACCGCCTCCACGGACAAGGCCAGCAAGGACTTAAAAGGGGACAGAAGCGAACACAGGCGGCGACAGCGGGGGCGGAGTGGGAGCGCGTTAGGAGGGATGAGTTATTTACAAGGCGAATTTTTGCCACTCCGGCTACAGCGGGGGAAGCAAAGTGCGGCCAGAGGGTGGCTGTAGGAAACAGGGATTCAAACAGGAATGTGGCAAGTGAGCAGAGGTCCATGGAGCTCATGTGGATATCAGCTGGGGAACGAGGGGCGGGGGCGGTGTTAGGGTGAAATAAAAACCCAGCCTTGTCCGTCAGCACCCAAATTGGATGACAAAAATAAGAAACAAAGGGGGGGAAAGAAAAGAACTACTATATTCAGGATCTTTGGGAGGAGGTGGTGTTAGAGCAGAAATTCCAGGAGGGAGTAATGTTAATGAAGTTTTGCAATAAAATTAATCGGAAACTGAACCAAAGGAGGGTCTTGGAGCTGAAAGTTTCCTTTCTATAGAATAATAAAAGTATGTTAAATATATATAATCTAGCATATAATATATAAATATAATTTTTATATATTTTAACTATCATAAAAATGTTAACTATGTTTCAAAATATTTTATATAATATATAAAAATATAATTACATATATGTTTAACTGTAATTGCAAATGTTAGTATAGAATTATAAAAATAACAAAACCCGCGTAAAAATAACTTCAAAAATACTAATCAGGAATTACAATAGTTATGAATAAGGCTGATAAAACACACTTTGAGGTGCAATGGGGCAGAGCACGACAGAACGGGACAGGACAAAACGTGAGGAACTGAGACCAAATAAATCCAAAGTTCGATATCTCGGGGCAGAAAGGAAGGGAAAGACCCCCTAAAATCCTTTTTTCTTTTTTTTTTTTAAAGTATTTTTTTTCTAGGAAACGCCTGAAAAATTAGTTAACGGCAGACCAACTTCATGCTTAATTAATTCTTAATTATTTCAGGCACTTACTGTCCTTTTATTAAGAGGAATCTCAGCCTACACAAGGCTTCTGCAGCAGGAGGAGAAGCCAGGGCTGTGCTATATATAAATATTTTCCCCAGAAATTGTTATTTTTGTACTTTTTTGCTATCTCTATGCATGCACATAAAAGCAAACCGCTGTTTCTACCTTACTTAAGGTTTCTTGGGGGGTGCGGGGAAGGGGCTAATAAAACAGCTCTTGGAGCCGCAGCGCCTCGGTGCCCACGTGCGCTCCAACCACTTCACTTCCTGGGGCAATTTGTAGCGTTGTAGCTGGGTTTGTTTTTTTCTTGGTGGATGGAAGCCCGGCCCACCGATGCCGCAGGAAAGCCACCCTGGAGCAGGCTCGCAGGCGGTGGTGGCGGGGCTGCGCTGAGGTGTGGCTGCTCCCGCGAGTCTCTAAAAGCCGCGCCAGGGAGTGACTTGTCGCCTCGTGTCACTGAAAGACCTGCATCGAGGGACGGCCGCTGTCAGGTGTCGCCGGAAGGGCTGCACAGAGAGGAGGGCGAAGTGTGAATAAAATGTATAGAACAGAATAAAATAAACAGAATTAAAGAGCCGCAGCAGGCCATTGCCCCGCATCTAAAAGCCGCACCGTGGGGCGGGCGAGGCGCGGCCGGGATCGATCCTCCCCGTCCCACAACACCCCCTGCGCGACAAGCGGTGACTCCCCGCGGCACCGCGCCGGAGCTGAGCGGGACAGCCAAGGCCGGGAAAGCGGCTTCCAGCGACGGGAGGAGCAGGGCATCGTGTTCGCAGTCAAGTCCCCCGAGCACTTAAGCACCGAGATAGGTCCGCCACTCGGCACCCAAGGACTCGAACCTATGTATCCCGCTGCCTCTCACTAGCCTGCTGCTCTCTCCCTAGCCTGCAGAAGCAATAAATGTAATATCTATCCTATGCACATGCAAAAAAGTTCTGGAGGTTTTTTTCCTATTTTTTTACTTCATGACGTTCATGTTGAGCAGCAGCACAAGACCGCTCACTAGTTAAAGCAGCAGAGTAACTGCTGGCCGTAAATTTGGAGCAGAACAGATCTTGTCCTGTGACAAGATCTGAGCTGGGAGGGAAGCTCGACAGAAAGCCATTTGTGTGCTGGGGAACACGGGCAGCACCCCGGGCTCTGGGCTGTGGCAGCATCTTGCAGAGTCCAGCTACTGTGTCTGTGTCCTGCATCTCCTGGCTCCTGGCCTCACTGGGCCTCTCCAGCCTCATCCTGCTTCTCCTCCTCATCCCACCACATGCTTTTTCTGTCTGCCAAGAGCTGTGGGAGAGGAGCCATGCCAGGCTCGAGGGTTGCCTTCACTGCAGGGAGACTCATGCAGGCACCCATGCCTGGGAGGAGGGAAGGACATGAGTGGTGAGTGGGTGCTGAGCCTGCTGCTGCCTTCCCTTGGACAACCTCCTCTTCCTTCTGGCTTCTCCCCAGATAACTGAATTATCCCAAACTACCACTAAATTCCTTCCAAAATAATTCTGAGTTCCCCCCCAGTATCTCTGAGTTATGACAAAAATAACTGAATTATCCCAAATACCTCTGCATTCCTCCCAAAATGCCTCCAAATTCTCCTAAAATACCAGAACTCTCCCCAGATACCTCTGAACTCCTCCAGGTCCTCTCGCAGTACATTCCGCTGGCAGCAGCAGGAGCTCAGGCTCTTCTCAAGCTCCATGGGGAGCCCATAGGGGAAGTGAAGCCTTATTTCACTACAGCTGGGAAGATAAATGACAGAGATGGATGTTGAGCAAGGGATATTTAAATGCCTCTCCACAGGTGGGGTGACAAGGGGGGGAAGTGACCAGTTTCCACATACATGCTTACTATGCTCCCAACATGCTAAAAATAAAAAGAGAGAAAAAAGGGGGAGGATGGTTCAAGTTCTCATCGGCAGCACTTTGGAAGGGCTTTTGGGTAAGGAGGGCTCTCACCTGGGGCAAGCGCTTAGCTTCCAGCTGCCCCGTGAGCCCATAGAGCTGTGTGATCCCCTCAGCCACCTGTAATGATTTTTTGGCCTGGGCAGCTGTGAAGGAGTTGTGCAGCTCCACCAGCCGCCCCAGGACCACATGCTCCTGTTCCAGTGGCACAGCCACTCGAACTTGGCCTCGATGCGGAGCCGCTCAGCCTTGCTCATCTCCTAGACAAGACAGAAAACCCCTGTGTAACCCCAGATTTGAACTTTCCCTTTCAAGCTAAAGAACAAAAGCACTCTGGCTGGAGCCAGGGGGGCTGTGACACTGGGGCAGAGCTGAGGATGTGGCTAATTAGTGACTGCAGCATAATTAAGCACTTCACCCCATGCTTTTCCTTCTTTCCCCTCCCCTGTTGCCATTCCTGTTTATATTCTGTCCAAAACCATGTCAGGCCCTGGAAAGCATGGGGGGAGGGTTAACTCTATATTAACAAATGTCCCTTTAGGAAGCAGTCTGGGATGAAAATGAGGAATGCCATGAAAATGCAGTGATTAAAAGTGTTGATAATAAGCATCTGCACATGGAGGTGGTCAAACCTGCCCAGGAGCTGCACCAGCCACTCCAACCGGGTTTGAGGCTTTGCAGGGCACAAGGATACCTCATGGATGATCCTGCATGTTTCTTCCAGAGGGTTTTAGGGAAAAATAAATACCCATTTGGACTGTCAAAACACCAAGGGGCCCCCTGTACCAGGTAGTCCCAATGATGCTTCTCTTCTCTCACTCTCCAGTCTAGAAACTGCCTTCACTCTCCAGTCTAGAAACTCTGCCAACACCTTCCTTAGGGATAGCAGGTGAGACTGGATTTTCTCCTGAATATACAAAAAAATAAAAATAAAAAATTATTTAAAAAAAATGTAAGTGATCGGCCCAGATAATTTGTATAATTCTGCCTTTAAAATCTTAATTTATTTGGGAGAGGAAAGCAAATAATCTTCAAAAAATGGCCCCTTGCTGCCTTCTCTGGAAAGCAGGGATCAACTCACTTTATGTTTCTCCTACAACCACAACCAGGCACTGGAGCTTTGCTTTCCCACCAAGAAATTAAACTATTTTCATTTTGCACCATTTTTTGGGGGGAAGGGAGGGGGGGAAGGGAGGGAGCAAAGTCTGATGGGTCTTAGGAAGCTGATCTCACCTCACAGGTGTCTACAGGTCCCCCAAAAATCTTCATGACCACAGTCTGTGGCAGTTCACCATTGCCTCCAGCACCCATGCAACCCCGAGGGGTTTTTGCCTCTTCAACACTGAGAGAGGAAGTTGTGGCTGGTCTCAGCATGCCAGTTTTGTGCCACTGCTGTGGCCATGCTGCCCTCCCGTGAGGAGAAAGCAATGCTGGTGGTTGGCAGTGGCACAGGGTGAAGCTGCCTGCCATCGAACCGCCCTTGGGTGTTCCTGCGCTTAGCTCCCAGCACAACCTGCCCCAGTGGGAAAAGCAAATTTCCTCACCCACAGTTCTCTTTAAACATGTTTTATCTCTCCCACGTTGTCTCATTTCTAGGCATTGCTGTCTCATCCCCCACCTGGAATGTGCTCTCAACCTTGTCCCTGCTTTCCCTTGTTCAGCTCCATTGTGCAGAAGGGGCCACAGCCAGATTTGGGCCGCTAGGGGGCAAAATTTAACCAATTTCTTCCTAGTGGTGACGTGCAATAATGCATATTTTTTGCGCTGTCTTAATTTTCCTCCCTTCCCTCTCCAATGCCTGAAAGTAAATGGCCCTGAAATGGGGGAAAAAAGTGCAATCAGAGGGTGCAGGAAATGTCAAAGCACGTCATGGCCCCATATGCAGGTGAGAGATTAGAGGGCTCCTCCCTTCTTGGCCGATAAAAACTGGCAGAGGCAGAGATAGGACTGAGCTTTGGCTGAGCCTGTGCCAGAGAGGGGAGAAAAAAATCCCAAGTGGAAACAAATTCAGTGGAGAAGCAGCCAGTGGAGGAAAAGCAACCCGAAAACAGCACCAGTGACACCAAGGAAAACACCAAAAAGGTTTGAGAGAGGGGGGAACTCACAGTGCTGAGAGGTGGTTACATCAACTTGCTGTCTTTTTGGGAGGAAAAGGGGATTTTGAGCTTTCTCTCCATCACATCAACACAAGAAGGAAAGTGGATTTGCCCTTGCTTTGACCTCAGGGTCTCTGTTTCAGATTTCATGGTGTTTTGCAGTGGAGGGTCATGGTGATATTTGCTCATAACAATCCATCTGGGGAAATCTGGGTGAGAAAGAGGATGTCTCCTGCTTTTATCTTCATTTAAGGGTGATTTTCTTACCTTTTCCTCACTTTTACTCATCCCCCTGCTGCTTTAATCCCCCTTTCTGCAGATTTGCTGAGGAAATGAACACAAGAAAATGAAGCAACCTGTTCATTTTCAACCATTACAACATGGTTTATTCAACCATTTTTGGCTTTATTACTCATTTCCAGGGCCCTTTAGTGCAGGCAAGCCCTTTTTTGCATGCAAAGCCCCAGGTTCTGGAGGATGGATTTTAGACCCTTCAGCGCCAGCTCTTATCTCCCCTGCACACATTTTCTCCAGGACCAGCAGCAAATTTCTCCCCCCCTCAAAGGATTTCTCTGGACATGAGAGGTAGACTTGGCTTATCTCAATTTTAAGGACTTTCCTCACTCAAATAAACCTTGTCAGATTTGGTTGATGAATGGTGGAGGCAGAGATGTATTTAAGATGGATTCAGCCCTGAACCAGCACAAGGAATGGGGGTTTGGGTTATAATAATATCTACAAGGTAGATGGGTCCATCCAAATGTGCTCCTCATGTTCCCTTCATAATCACTGGGAAATTAATTGATTTAACTGCTCTCCACGGGTCTTTCCATAAATGAACCAAGCTCTGTTACAACTGTTGGAGAAAAAAATTGGCATTTTCTTGAAGTATTTTGATTAGATGTGGTGGTTGAGCCCATTTCCTGACATAAAAATGGGCAGAAAGCTGATAAGGGCCTGTTTGGAGGACAATAATTTGATTTTATTCTTTCTTTCTTTCTTTCTTTCTTTCTTTCTTTCTTTCTTTCTTTCTTTCTTT